TTTTTTTTTTTTTTTTTGAGAGAAAGGATCTTGCTCTGTTGCCCAGGCTGGAGTGCAATGGCACAATCATAGCTCATTTCAGCCAACCTCCTGGGCTCAAGCAATCCTCCTGCCTCAGCCTCCTGAGTAGCCAAGACTACAGGCACACACAACCATGCCTGCTAATTTTTATTTGTTTTATTTTTTTTGTAGAGACAAGGTCTCACTACATTGCCCAGGCTGGTCTCAAACTCCTGGCCTCAAGCGATCCTCCTGTCTCGAGTCCACATTCTTAGCCAGTGTGTGATGCTAACCCATTTTCATAAGCACCGTGATTAGCCTGGCAACAATCATCAATATTTTCTGGCCTTAAATTTTTAAGATTTTTGTTTTAAATTTTTTTTACTTTTTTGGTTTTAAATTGCCTGCTATTCCCCCTTGACATTTAGAACATGCTTTGTTTCTTGACACTGATGTTACTGTTAGGATCCAGTTATTACTGGCTAATATTTGCTGAGAGCAACACTGGGCCAGGTTCTGTGCCGAGCAGCTTCATGTCACACCCACTCTAGGAGGAAGGTCTTGATATTGTCCCCATTTTCCAGATGAGGAAACTGAGGTTCAGAAAGAAGTCATTTGCTCAAGATCACAGAGCAAGTGGTGGGAGGGTGGGGGTTTTTAACTCAGGTGTGCTTGGCTCCAGTGCCCAAGTTCTCAGCCCCGAGCCCGTGCAGTCTCCCAAATAATAGCCCTTGATCCTAACCACCACCGGAGGAATGGCTATTGGATAAAGGACCGGAGAGGGTGGTCACAGGCTCTAGGCCACATAGCACATTGAGAGTGTTGGTGGCAGGGGCAGGGATGTCCTGATTCCTACTCTGGTGCTCTTTGTGCCCCTCCCAGGGCTCAGGACCCACATCCCAGCAAGCAGCTCACCTGTGCAGGCCACGGCAGCAAAGACCCAGCACTGGCCGTACTTGACGCGCTGGCAGCCGTGGTTCTTCCAGCGCCGCAGGATGTCCACGCTGCCGATCCAGGACATGGGATTGACACCGTCCCCGTAGTTGTTGTCCCAGCGTCCCAGCAGCACACCCTGGTCATCGTTGCAGTTGACCTGCAACCAGTAGGGCAGCACAGGAACTGAGCCTGGGATGGGGTGACAGCTGTGTCGGCTGGGTGAGCCTGAGCACAGCAGGCGTGGGGTGAAAGGCAGGGAGGGGAGCTCCAGGGTGAGGAAAGAGCAGGGGCAAAGGGGCCATGGTGTGACAGACTGCGGTGTGTGGCAGAGGGTGGGGGCTGGAGCCGGGGACAGGAGGGAGATGGGGAAGAAGGAGGTGGGGCAGGGTCAAGGTCTTGAACGCCATGCTGGGGATGTGACTCTGTCCTGTGAAGAACACAGGATTGCTCGGGAGCGACATGGCGTGATCTCAGTTTTACAAAGACCCGCTTGCGTCTCCCACCCCAGATTGTGTCGTTCGCCCTGAACTCCCATTACCTCAAGAATAAAATCAGCCTCCTGACCGCGATCCACGAGGCCCTTCTGGTCTCACCCCTGCCCACCTCTGCAGCTTCCTCTGCACCCACAGGCCCTGCTCACTCCACTCCGGGCACACTGGCCTCCCTTCCTTCCTCAAACCTGCCAAAGTCGCTACCTTCTCAGGGCCTTTGCACAGCTGTACCCTCTGCCTGGAACGCCCTTCTCCTGGGTACCACCTTAGGGAGCCTCTCAGCCCCTCCCGGAGCCTGGCCCTGCGGTCCAGCATTGTCACACCTCAGGTTCCTTCAGAGCGTGCACCGTCATTTATGACTGCCTGCTCATTCATACGGTATTTTGGTTAGTGTCTGTCTCCTCTCCCCTACCCTCTACAACACAGGCTCCATAAAGTTAGAGATCACACAGGACTTGTACACGGCTGTCTCCCCAGTGCCTAGGACACAAGTGGTACTTGATAAACATCCGCTGAAGAACTGAATAAATTAATTGCTCTGGGGGACCTCACAGCATCAGCCTCATCTGTGTAAATCATATCTTTCCAATGTAAGGTCTCTTCCTCGAGACTTACCCATCTCCTGGGTCCCCCCACCGCGCCCAGCACAGTGAATGGCCTGTGTCTCCACTGCGAGGGAGGGGCCTGCGGGAGCCCCCTGTGGGCCCACTCCGGACGGCCCTGCCACTCACTCACCATGCCGCTCACCACCCGGCCCACGTAGACGGGGCTGCTGCGGCGGGAGCAGTCACGGCCGGCGTTCTTCAGGAACTTGGGGTTGACATCTAGAAGGATCAGGCAGATGTCTAGGATCCCATCTTCAAACTGTGTCAGAGGAAACAAGAGAAGAAGGAGGAAGCTAGGAAGGCACCTCCTTCAGGAAGCCTGCCTTGAAGCCTCCACTGTTTCCTGCTCTGTCCCACACAGCAGACTACGAGGCTCCAGCTGAGTCTGCCAGATCTCTCTGGTGGCAGCTTCTCTTGGCCCAGGAGGGAATGGAGTGGGACAATGACTGGGTGAGCCATGAGTGTGTGACAAAGGGGGTGACAATATTCATCCAGGACCTGGTTGAGGGTACCTGGGAATCTGGAGCAGGGGCCCATGGAGTGGGCAGCCCAGTGTCCCTGGGGCTCCCCCTCAGAGTCACCCTGGGCCCTGTCACTGTCCCTTTCTCCTCTTGCTCAGCCAAATCTCCCACTTCCCCAAGGCGTGGCCCACCCTGCAGAGCTGATGTCAGCCCCTCGTCCCCCTCCGACCCAGCCCACACACACTGCTCTGATGGGAACTGAGACAGATTCTAAATACAGAAAGCCAGTCTCATCACTCTTCTGTTTCAACCGTATCCACAGTAAAACCCAGACTTCCCCGTGCAACCTACAACGCCCTTCACAATCTGCCCCCATCCCCTCTTTGACTTCATCTCTCACCACTCACACCCATACTCACTCTGCCCAGGCTCGCTGTCCCAGGGCCCTTGCACGTGCTATTTCTCTGCTCAGAATGCGCTTCCTGCTGCTCTCTGCAGGGCTCACACCATCTCAGCCTTGCCATTCAAACGTCATCTTTCTCAAAAGCAGGACCCCTTCTTGCCACCTTCCATTGGACCATCCACCTGCAGGGGCCCTTCTGTCTGCTCTCTTCCCCCGACCTCTGTGGTCCTTTCCTGGGCCAGATCTCCCTCCAAGCTGCACGATAGCCTTCCATGGTGTGAACCCTCTGTGGCTCCCTATTGCCATCAGCCTGATGTTCAGGGCTGTTCCACAACCTGGACACTGCTGGCTTCTCCCACCTCATCTCTTGGGGCTCCTTCACACACAAGGTATGCCCCAAGCTACAACATACGTCTCAGGCGTGACGTAAACTTTCCAACCTCTGAGCTTTCACTTGCATAGTTCCCTTGGCCTAGTATATTGTGCACACACCTCCTTGCGTGGCAAACTCCTATTTGTTCTTCAAAGCCCAGCTCAAATATTCCCTACTTCAAGAAGTCCCCCCTGATCCCCATAGGCTGTTATTCCTTCCTTCCTCTAAGTCTCATCTTCCTGGACTGTGATCCCCTTCAGAAGCTTTGCAAGGGCCATGTCCCATAGCCCAGCACAAGCCCCGATACAAAACAGGACCCTGGGAAATAAAGGAAGAAACTGACTTTGTTCTCCTTCTCAGGAGAGAATAAAAAGCCATGAAAAATCAGAGCCAATTCATTTTCTGATGTATTTTATGCATCACGGTCATACCCCCATTTCATTTCTATCCCACAGCAGGCTATGGGGTTGCTGGGCAGACAGTTTTGCAATTATCATGACAATATTCAGATGAGAAAACTTTGGTCAGAGCCTGAGACCATACAGGGAAGATTTCCCTATGGTTTCAGGGTAGGACCCTCTAGGCCTGAACATTGAACCCTGCCCCAGAGGCTGCTGGGGGAAGCCTCAGGGTGAACCCCACCCCAGGAGGCCAATACCTCCTAACACACCAGGAAGTTGAGTGGTCAGGGGTGCAATAGTTCTTGCTTTGTGAGTTTTCCCAGCAGTCTCAAGAATTTTTACAGGTGGATGGATGATAAATGAAATTTATCATCACCGGTTTAGAGAACCAGCCCAGGCTGGCCGGCTGGAGAGTGAGAAACCACATGAAACAGATGAGCCATCGGCTGAGGCCAGCCAAGCCCAGCCTAGACAGCCATGCACGGCTGACCCATAGACTTGTAACAAATAATAAGTGATGGTTGCTTTTAGCCCCTAAATCTCAGGCTTGTTTGTTCGCAAAGTATGGTTACTAGACAAGCAGCACCAGCATCACCTGGGAACTTGTTTGAAGAGCAAATTCTCACCCCCTAGTATTTTAACACCGTCTTTCAGTGATCCTGAGAACCACTGATCTGGGTGAGGGTTTAAAGCCCCTTCTTAGCACATGCCTAGCACACAGCGAGTGCCCTCTAAGTACTGCCTATTATTTAAATACATGAGCTTTACTGTTCCCTCTTCCCCCCTCCCGGGATACCAACCAACTTCACAGCTCCCAAAGGCTCTCCTAGTTCTTTCCCCACCTTGAATCCAGGGCCACCGCCTTTGCTGTGTGACCTCAGGCCAGCCTTGGCCCTCTCTGAACCTTCAGCTGTTTCAGGGCCTTTGCATCCCTGACAGCATGAAGTGGATGACTCTGTGACTCACTCCCAGCTATGCAGCTTTGGCTGCCCCCAGACACAGGGTCAGGCACACAGAAGGGCCTGAGATGGTTGGGAGAAACAGGGTGTTGCCCCTACCTGCCCAAAATTCCAAGGTATGCTCTTGATGAACTTGGCCGAGCCCTGGTAGATAAAGCCCTGCTGGGTGAGGACGTACTCCTGCCGCTCCTCTTCCGAGTCCAGGTACACAGCGTCCGCTGCAGGCAGGAAGAAAGGGACCTCAGCTCTGGGTCTGCAGAGGCCCAAGGGTCCCCGCAAATCTGGCAGTCAAGGGTGCCACCTCCCTAGGCCAAGCCAGTGTCTCAGAGATCCATCCTTCTTTTAATTAGGGAAAGTCACCATTAAGGAATAATCCCACATCAGTGAGATAAGGTGTTATCGGTTAGTGACAACAAAGGCTGCCATTTCTCCAACACTCACCACGTGCCGGGACCTGTGATAAATGTCTGGCCTGTGTTAATAAATTTAATCTCCAGAACAGCCTTATGAGGAACGGACCCTTGAAAGCCCCATTTTAAAGATGGGAAAACTAAGGCTCAGGAATATTTTATAGCTAGGAAAATTGAGACTAAAGACAGAGGAGCACTGGACCAGGAGTTAGGAAACTCCTGAGCCTCATTTGCTGTGTGACCCTGGGTAGGCTACTTTGCCTTCTCTGCCCACCTTAACATCTCACTGTGTCAGCCCAAAATGCAGATCTGAAAGGTGCTTTGGAAACGAAAGCCCTGAGGTAGCATGAGGGAGGCGCATGATTCAAGGGAGAGAGAGCTCAGTAGCAGAGGGGAAGGCCAAGAAAGGATTCTTGCAGCTCAGGAGAGGTGGGGTCCTGTCCAGCTTGAGGGAGTCACAGAGGGCTCCCTGGAGGAGGTGGCATCTGAATGCTGTCTTGAAAAATGATTAAGGTTTAGAGAGTTGGAACCTGGAGGGTGGCATTCTAAGCAGAGGACCAGAAAGAACAAAGTTTTGGCTGCTGGAAAATGCAGGGCATTTAGTTGTCTGTGGCCAGTGAGGGGAGAAGAGGGGGCTGAGGAAGTTGGGACCAGATGGTAGGAGGCCAAAGATCAGGCGGGCTTTACTGACTCCACTTCACTGGTGAAGAAACTGAGGCCAAGAAGGGGCAATCTGGAGCCGCATTATGACTTTGGTGAGCCGCAGGCAGTCTTGACTTCATGCATTCCTTCCTCCATGAGAAAAAAAGTAATTGAAAAATGACTGCCTTGGTTAATGACAGCTATCTCAGTATTACATATTAAAACCTATTGTTCAACTTAAATGTTCATTTTTTTCTTCTGATTTTAAATTAAATTAAAACATGTTCACGGGCCCCTAAAAGTTTCTCGGGCCCCAGGCACTGTGCCTGTCAGGTCTAATGGAGTAGGTGGCCTGGGAAAGAAGCAGCTGCTGGACCCTCAGACCCCTGGGCTTTGTCACGCCCATCTGCGGCGACCAGCAGCCCCCACTTTCATCACAGTGAGGAAAAATGGGAAAGAGGCCAAGTCTCTTGTGTGTTCTGATCTTTGGCTCTGGAAACTTCTATAAAAATTAACCCTGAAGTCAATGAACTATAATGGCTCTGCAGCAGCTGGAGGATGTGGGATAAAGAATGAAAGAGAAAGGACAACCCACAGTGTTTCAACATTAGAATGAGTGTCAGCACTTGTTGAACTGTCCCCACCCCAGCTCAGGATGCCAAGACTGTGACGTCCCCAGCTCAGGTCTCCATCTGGTAAAGGTGGGGGCACTGGGGACGTGAAACCTTGCATATAACTGGCACTCGATCATATTGGTCTTGGAGCTGACGTATAGGAGGGTCCCATTTTCCAGGCAGACCCGGCCCTTTCCCACTCATCAGACTGATTTCCTCCCGTAGCGCTCCTGCGCTCACCCCAGCCCAACTTCCTGCCTCTGCATCACCAGCTCTACAGCTCCTGCCCCGGGATGTGGGTCACTTTAGTCACTGTGCCGCTTGGCTGACCGCCACTCCAACCCGCCGGGTGAGGCCAAGCAGGAGGAAGGGGGCCATCCCCCAGAACCACGCTCCCCATTCCCTGAACTCTGAAACCCTGTGGTGTGGACAAGGGTGGGGACACCGGCGTGTTCCTGTCCTGTTGGCAAAGCTGCCAACTAGTTGCGACTCTCTGCAGTTGACTAAAATTCAAAACAAACCTATGGGGCGGGGGGATCCAGTAAGGCTAATTCTGTCCCGAGAAATCATTCCATTGGCCACAGGGTCTGAAGCAATGGTGCTCATTGATGCATGGTCCCTGCGTGCCATGAGCCTCCAGGCACAACCTCTTGTCCATCAGTGGGGGCTAGACCATCCACATGGGCAAGACACAGGACACTCGAGGCCCTTAGAAAGAATGAGCAGATGTGGCCGGGCTTGGTGGCTCACGCCGATAATCCTAGCACTTTGGGAGCCCAAGGTGGGCGGATCACCTGAGGTCAGGAGTTTGAGATCAGCCTGGCCAACATGGTGAAACTCCGTCTCTACTAAAAATACAAAAATTAGCCCAGCGTGGTGGTGCATGCCTGTAGTCCCAGCTACATGGGAGGCTGAGGCAGGAGAATCATTTCAACCCGGGAGACAGAGGTTGCAGTGAGCCAAGATTTCACTGCTGCACTCCAGCCTGGGTGACAGAGAGAGCCTCGGTCTCAAAAAAAAAAAAAAAAAGAAAGAAAGAATGAATGAACAGATGTTTGCAGACCAATGTGGACAGATCCTCACAGTGTATTGCAAGGGGAAAAAACCAAGTTGTAGGTTAATGTATACGGTGGGATCCTTTTATGTTTGTGATAGAGAGACAGAGCCCTAAACAATACAGCAGTTTCTCCAGGCACGTGCAGACTGGCCTAAGGAGGGGAGCCCCCGCAAAATATCTAACAATGGTGTTCCCCCAGGAGGAGGGGTCAAAGGGGGAGGCCGTTTCTCTGTAGTCTTGAAGCCCTCCCCTCCCCTTTTTTTGAGACAGAGTCTTTCTCTGTCACCCAGGCTGGAGTACAGTGGCACAATCCCAGCTAACTGCAGCCTCAACCTCCTGGACTCAAGAGATGATCCCACCTTAGCCTCCTGAGTAGTTGGGACTACAGGTAGGTGTGTGTCATCACATCAGGCTAATTTTTGTATTTTTTTATAGAGATGGTGAGTTTCACCATGCTGGCAAGGCTGGTCTTGAACTCCTGGCTCAAGTGATCCCCCTGCCTCAGCCTCCGAAACTGCAGGGATTACAAGTGTGGAATTACAGGCGTGGGATTACACTGCACCTGGGCTTGAAGCTTTTCTAAAGAGAATGCTGTCATGGCCTACTGTTATACTGGGAAATAAAAGTCAAAATATGGAAACGAGAAACATTTTAAAAGCTTTCTGCTCAAATATAAATTGCCTCAAAATAGAGAAGAAAAAAGATAAAGCAGTGGGCCAGCAAGAAGGTGGTGGTCTAACAGCCAGGAGGCCAGAATTTCCGCCCTTTTGAGGACAGACACACAATTCCCAGGAGGGGCCTGGCCCGTGATGCTTGTCCCCCTGCTTTGTTTCATTAGAGCAGAAAGGAAACAGATCATTAGACCCGACTGCCTTGCTAGTTAGATGGGAAAATCGAGGCCTGGGGAGGTGATGGGCAACCCCTGCCTCCTCAGTTTCCTGTGTGTGAAGTGGGGACGCTGTAATGTCACCCTTAGGATTGTTGAGAGGCCCGACTGAGACAGTGCGTAAGAAGGCAGCTGGACAGTCAAACTGCTCCTACTCACCCCCCTCCCGCAGCCCTCCCCCCAACCTCACCTCCCCGTTTCCCTTCCCCAAACCAGTCTGGGTGAGATTTAAAACATGGCTGCCCACCTCGGCCAGGCACAGTGGATCATGCTTGTAATCCCAGCACTTTGGGAGGCTGAGGCGGGTGGATCACCTGAGGTCAGGAGTTCAGGACCAGCCTGGCCAACATGGTGAAACTCTGTCTCTACTAAAAATATAAAAATTAGCCAGGCGTGGTGGCACATGCTTGTAATCCCAGCTACCCGGGAGGCTGAGACAGGAGAATTGCTTGAACCTGGTGGGCGGAGGTTGCAGTGAGCCGAGATCGTACCATTGCATTCCAGCCCAGGCAACAAGAGCAAAACTCTGTCTCAAAACACAAAAAACAAAAACAGGGCCCCATGAAACAGAACCAGGACATAGTGCCCGGGCCTGGGCATCAGCTGGGCACCCTTTTTCTGATGTGTAGCTTTTGAAACCAAGTCACCGCTAAGCCCCAGTTCATAGTGGTCTGGGAATACACAGGCCTCAAACAGTGAATGAAGTCCCTTGGTAAATATCTGGAATTGGGCATGTCATTCTACTTCTTTGTATTTTTAGTTTTTTAGAGGCAGGGTCTCACTCTGTTATCCAGGCTGGAGTGCAGTGGTATAATCACAGCTCACTGCAGCCTCCACCTCCTGGACACAAATGATCCTCCCATCTCAACCTCCCAATTAGCTGGGACCACAGGCGTGCACTACCACACCCAGCTACTGTTAAATTTTTTTTTTTTTTTGTAGAGACAGGGTCTTGCTCTGCTGCCCAGGCTGGTCTTTAACTTCTGGCTCACTCAAGTGATCCTCCCTCCTCAGCCTCCCAAGGGACCAAGATTATAGGCATGGATCACTGAGACCGGCCTCATTTTGTTTCTATAAACAGGGATGACAGGAGTACTCATGTCTTGAGGGTTTTGTGAGGCTGGAGCACAGTGGGCCCCACTCAGTCCACTTTGATGTGTGTCTCTTATCCCCTGTTCTTCCCACCTCCAGTGGCCTCCATGGGCGGATCCAGCCCTGCCCACCCCAACGCTGTGAGTGGACGGCGTGTGGCTCACCTGGGCACCAGGCATTGAAGAGCAAGATGAAGTGGCCCAGCACAAAGCTGGATCCCTGGTAGCCAGTGGAGGCCTCCAGGCTGAGGCGATACAGGCCGATGGGGGCGTTGGCCGGGGTGGTGAGCTGTAGCGAGAGGGTGCAGTCTTGCTGGTCCACCACGGTGGCCGTCCAGTCACCCTCCTCCACAGCATCTCGTAGTGGAAAACGGGCTTTGGTCCCGGCCTCCTGGCTGGGGGCTGGGCCTGTGGAGGGAGAAGCAGTAGCTGTGAGCTAGGGGTGGCAGGGCTGGCACGGCAGGGCACCTACCTGGGGTCCCCCGGCTTGGGCTCCAGGCCTAGTTCTGCCACTAACCACTGAAATAACTTTGGCAAGAAGTTTTGTCTCCTTGAGCCTCAGTTTCCTCACCTGTAAAGAGGGGCTCAGAACCCCAGCCTTTTGGGGTGGTTTTGTGGGAATGCATAAAAAACCACAGGCACACACATGTCCTCAACTAGAGAGTCCTCCTGAGGGAGGGCCAGGCAACCCGGAACCAAGGCTCATTCCACTGCTCTGCAATGACGTGACTTGGGACAAGCCCATCCCTCTCTCTGGGATCGCCTGGCTCATTTGTGTAGCACAGACAAGGATTAGGCAAGATGCCCCAGGGCCCCCCTTTCCTGCCTAAATCCTCTACCTGCTAGCGTCCCGCTTTTTCCCTCAGAGAAGGAAGCCCAGACACTGAGCAGAAAGGGACCTCCTTCCTCTGAGAGCCCCTTGCGGTAGGCCAGCGGAGGATGCTGGCTGGCCCACACAGCCTCTAGCTGTCTGTCTCCCTAAGCCCCCCAAACTGCTGTCCCCCGCATCTCCACAGGCAGTTCTGAGATGCTGGTCATAACCACCCCTCTCCTTCCTACAGCCTTTTACACTTTATGAAGCACCTGCTTCCTTTGAGACCCCTTGCCCAGGTGAGAACACTGAGGCTCAGAGTGAAGGGGGTCTCCCAAGGATATCCTAGGAGTTTGTGGCAAAGGTCGCATCTGAAGTGGGTCTTTAGCTCTCAGTTGTCTTCTACGGTGCCTCTCCTTCCCAAACAGGACGCTCCCCAGCCGGGTTCTCAAAGGCACAGCAATGGGCACACTCTCCAAGCAACCAAGAAATTCCCGAGGCCTGGGGAAGCCTGAGGGACTTTTCCAGGTGGAGGGGAGGGCCACCCCCACAGGCAGGTCTGAGTCATGGGCAGGGCGAGGAGGGGCCGGTCACTTTCTGGACTTGGGTGGTGGAGAGGAGACAGACGACGTTCTCTGCCTGGCTGGGCGGGTGCCCAGGAAAGTTTATTTTTATTCTTACATCTCCCTCCCTGCAGCTCTGCCCACCCGCTGCTGACATTATTGGGGCCTGCTCACCCTGGGGCTCCCTCCCAGCCCTCAGCCCCCTCCTCCCTGCCAGCCAGCCCCACCCACACCCAGCTCAAATGTAACCATGAACTAACAGGCACGACACAGGCCTCTGGGGCCCTGCCCAAGTGCCAGGGGCCAACTGGAAGCCTTTGAATGCTCCCTGACTTCCAAAACTGGCATTCGGGGAGGAGCCGTGCAGGCTTGGGGTCCCAGACCCACCCTAGGTCTGGTTCCCCCACTCTGCCCCTGAGTACTGTGTGACCTGGGCCACATCACCAGGCCTCTCTGATCTGCTTTCTTATCCAAGAAGAAAACAGGCTTAGGCCACATGCCCGAGAGGGTCCAATCTCAGGTTCGAAACTGGCTCTATGAACTTGGACAAGTTACTTAGCTTCTCTATGCCACAGTTTTCTCATCTGTAAAATGGGGCCAGTGGCAGTACCTCCCTATAAGGTTGTTGTGAAGCTTAAAGAGGACAGGCATGCAAAGCATCCCACAAGGCGCCTGGTGTATAGTAAGTGCTCAGGAAATCATAGTTAGCCTTGTTCAGTTTTCATGAACGCCTCCTGGTTCTGTTTCGAAGGTTCCATGAGAGAGTTCATAGAAAGCATTTGGAACAGTGACCAGCTCAGTTATCATGCAGGAAATGTGAGCGATCGTCAGTGTTATTAGAAGGGGCCACTAAAAATCTGAATTCTCAGGCTAAATAGTAGATTATGAGAACTGGAGTGGAATATAGAGATGGTCTAGTTTCATTGAAGAACTTCACAGATATGGAAACTGAGGCTGAGCGGGGTGGCGCTGGGGTGACCAAGCATCACAGTTTGCTCAGGACAGCCTCAGTTTATGCCTGTGGCCCTTACTTAATTCTTAAGGGCCCTCCTTCCAATCCCAGAAACGTCCCCGCTCAGAGGATCAATGATCTGGTCTCTGTGGCATCAGGCCTGGGCCAGGTCCCATTGCCAATGTCGCTGTTGACATTTTACCCTCGGGGACAAGTCAGGAAACGCATTTCCCTTTCTCTCTATCTTGGGACAGCCATGCACACACAGTCACACACACTCACACACCCCTTTCTTCCCAGATCTCGGGGGGACAAGAGAAGGACAGGCTGTCCCACGGTCCACCCGCTGCTCGCGTAAGCTGGCTTCACAAAGTCCTTGGCTGCGGTTCTACACCATCCTCTTTGTGGGACCAGGGGCACCATGAGGACGACTCTGTGCCCAAATGACCACAGGGAGCATAGGGTCCTGGCCACTATCCCAGACCATGGTGGCCGGGCTGGGATGGGGTGGGTGAGCAGAACCTTCTAGAGTAAAGCCTTCTATTCGCCTCATAAGGGTTACTTTCACTCCTCCAGGCTGACTTCACTCCTACGGCCACAGCCACACCCCCTCAAACCCAACCCCATCCTTGGAGGGAAGCAGAGCTTTATCCCTTTAACAAGGATGGCATTTGTCTAGTGTGGCCTGGACCCCATAACAGAATCTGTCAGGTCTCGAACTGTCTGGGTGAAAACACACATCTAGGAATGTGTGGGGTCAGGCCACACATTCACTTTCACATTCACTCAGCTCCATTCGCTGAGTGACCTTAGCCAGCTCTCCTGCTTCTCTGGGCCTCAGTTTCCCATCACAAGCTAGAATGTTCCCGCACAGGAGCAGAGTCAGCTGGCCAGGCCTTGAACCGAGTGCTGACCCAGGCCAGGCCTGGAGTTGAGGGAGGGCCCGGTTTCCTGGTATTGTCCCTCAGGCTTCCCCAGGCCTTGGGAATTTCTTGGTTGCTTGGACAGGGAAGATGTGTGCACTCTGTACTCAGAGATCTGGGCTCCTCTGTGGCTGCCTACAGGGGCTGCGGAAGTGACCAGGGCAGGTTGGTTATGGTTTGAGATAAGTTGGTGGAGACTGGAGGACAGAGATTAGCTGGCTGGGGTGGGAAGGTCAGCAGTGGCCCTTCACCCAACCCCAAACTCAGGACCCTAATCACCTAACACTACGCTGCCCAGACAATTGGAGGAGAAATAAGAAAGGGGACATCTGGGCTGGGCGCGGTGGCTCACACCTGTAATCCTAGCACTTTGGGAGGCCGAGGTGGGCGGATCACAAGGTCAGGAGATCGAAACCATCCTGGCTAACACGGTGAAATCCCGTCTCTACTAAAAATATTAAAAATTAGCCAGCGTGGTGGCGGGCGCCTGTAGTCCCAGCTACTCGGGAGGCTGAGGCAGGAGAATG